AAACCAAAAGCTAGATGGTCTTAAATACCAAGAACATACCACATACAGATGGCAACAGGGACAGATGTTTACATACACGACATGGATGGATAAAAGTCTCACAGACACATTAGCAGCCAAAGGCATCAGTTATGTTGGTGAATGTGAACGAGCTGAACCCACTGCTCCAAACAAAAGGTTTCACAAAGTAAGTCCCAGCTAGACTGTTTATATAAAGAACCTATTTACAAGCACACCGTGCTTTAGGGTCCATGATTTAGGAGGGTTAAAATGAAGGGACAGACAAAAACAAACAAACAAACAAGCAAACAAACAAAAACACTAAGCAAATGAAAGACAAGAGGAACTGGGGATAATTCCTCATAATTGAAAAAAAAGCCAAGAGCTAAAATAAAAGTTCATTGTTGCAAAGAATAATAGTGTTAAAACCCACAATTAATAATAAAAACATTGAAACATCAATCACCTGAGCCACAATCACTTCATCTTTTATACACTGTAAATTGTGAAAGTTGGTAAGACATACAGAAAGAGACAGACCAGCAACAGGAGAATTCAAAATATTATTCATAGTATAAATCAGATCAAGGGAGTAATGTTAAATAAATAAGGACATAAAAATAAGCAATGGGATAATGTGAGGTGCATCCTATTAATATGTGTGTGGTACATTTTACATAATGAAATAGAAAATACCTCAATGGAGAACGTGGGTATTGTAGACTGTTTGCACCTCCTACCACCACACACCTGCTCACCCCATGAGCTCCTAGTGACTACTGACTGCCTCTGGAGATACAGACCTTGTGGGTTGTAGCATGAAAGGAGATCTTAAGGCTGAGTTCCAAGCCATGTATTTAGTGTCCTCGTAAGAAGTGACACTGAAGCTGAGGGTGAAGCCCAGGATGAGGCACTGGCCTAGCACATTCAAGATCCTGGATTGTATTCCAAGCACTGTAAACGGACAAACAGCCAAGCATGAGGATCCATGCTTACACGACCACCACTCAGGTGGCTGAGGACATAGCCAGAAGATCTGAAAAGCTTGACAGCTTGACCCAACTGGCCTTCACAGATTCTAGAGGAACTATTACCCCAAAAGAAGCTGACCAAACACTCACCATGGAAACAGCCACGGAAGCTTCCAGAATTAGAAATTCAGTAGTGGCCTTCTTGGATACCCAATGATCATGGCTAAGTTATCAGGATAATTAAGAATATTTTTAACTTAATTACACCCGAAGCACAACAGATTGAAAGTGGAAGGGACGAAGCTGAAACTACTGAGTGGAAAATGTGCAGCTGTAAATTCACACGGCAGAAAAGGAAAAGATGGAAGACCGAGCAGAGAGCGTTCTTCCTAAGGATCTGGACAAAGAACAGTGGGCAGAGCCCAAGTGAGACAGGCAGGAAAGAGATTCGGAAATAAATCAATGAAATGGAGATCAAATACAAGTGGAGATCATTGACAGAGCTGAGCTGGATTTTTAAAAGATTCATAAAATGTATTAATGAAGGTCAGAAAAAGAGAAAACCTCATTTTTCAATATCAGAGTTGAAAGAGATGTCCCTGCAGATGCCAAATGCATTTAAGTGATAATAAGAAGGTATTATAAATAATCTCATGCCAACAAATTTTGTGGGTTTATGAAATATGCTAATTTAATTTAAAAAAATATTAAAACTGACAAAAGCGAACTGAAATCCAAACAACCCTACATACAATAAAGAAATTGGATTCACATTTAGAAATCTGCCCCAGCAGAAAACATTGGAGGCTGGATAGCTGTCACCCACAGACTTACAGAGAAAAAGATTAATTTCACAGAAGTCCTTTTAACATACTGTAGATTCAAACCCTCACATGGCATTTTGAGGGTCGTGTTGGCACAGGAACTGCCTGCAGAGAGTCGAGAGGCAGAACCACACACCTGGGCTTACATGTCCTATACGAGGAAGGTCTCGGTAATTCAGCAGGGAATGCAGTCCTCTCAATAAATGGTGTTCTGTCAACTGAATGGCCATTGCTTTAGTTCATCTGTGCCACTGTAACAAAATGCTTGAGACAGGGTCGTGTGTAAAAGAAGAATTTTTTTTTCTTCATAGTTCTTGAGATAGAGGACTCCAAGATCAAGGTGCCAGCACTGTAGTCTGCTGAGGGCTGCCTTCTGCTGAGGCGATGGCACCCTGGTGCTGGATGAATCCTCTTCCAGAAAGGGGTTGATGATCTCATTCACTAGAGCTTGGTCTTCATGACTTTAGCACATCCTGTTGGCCCAGCCTCTTAATATCATCACATGGGCAACTGTGAGCACATGGATTTGGGAAGGGACCTATGCAGTAAGGCCACAGTATCCTCACTGAAAATGAGATGTGTCTCATGCTGCATGCAAAGAGCATTAAAAGTGAGTCACAAGACTGGGAATGTAGCTGGGGTAGAGCATTTGACACATAGCATTTGCGAGGCCTTAGGTTTAGTCCCCAGTCCTGCGAGCACACTGTGCCAGGAACATGGACACACGTGTCTTTCCACAATGTCGGAATTTACTGAATAACAATAGTTCATAAGCTACATAGTTCCCATTGGTTGCATCTTGGCAAGTGTCCCATTTTCTTTTGATATCTGACCTTTGGCAAACACGAGTTCTTTTATCTCAATCTTAACCACAAATATTAACTCACAGATCACACATTACACACCACCTGGCAATAACATCCATATTTATGTGTGTAAGTTACAGAAAGGCCGGCTACGAAGGGTTAAAGGATCTGCAAGGTTCAGAAGTTATACTGGAGGCAGAGGCAGAGTTAATACCAGTGTGAAGAGTCACTGCAGGTGGTCGGATGAGATATTGACAAACCCAGCTGGAGAGCTGCTGGAGGCACAGAGCTGAGCCTTGGGGTCCCAGAGTCTCACTGAACTGCAGAAGCATGGGACTGTGGACGCGAGGCAGAGAACATGCAGGCAAAGGACAGGACCAGGTCCAGATGAACAAATTCAACAGGAGGGCAGCTAGGTAGAAGTTCAAGTGTACCACCTCTGGCATCGGGAACTCTGCGGAGCTGAAGCTCTGGGGACAATTGGGACTTCTCTGCCTGCTGGTCCTTTGACAACACACACTAGGCAGTCAGATTGGGGGGGTTTAGTGTCCTCCTCTCTGTGGAGTCCAAAATGAGAGTGTGTGGTGTGTCTGATAAATTCTCAGGTCTGTTTTATGATGTGCCCATAGGTCTCCAATCTGCTTTGCTATCACTGGTCTGTACCTCCTGTAAGCTGGGCAAGTGGTGCACACACCAAATACCAAGTCATTCTGTTTCTACATAAATTCTTGATAGGAAGCCAAATTGTGGTTATTTTTAAATAATCACCCTTTGATCTTGTGAATTTCTGAAACTTGACAAGCCAATGCCCTTGTATTCTCTGCCGTTGACAGGTAAAGAATGTTCTGGTCTCCCATACCTCAACAGGCCTTGCTTCCGTGTTACTCTGGGTATGGCAAGGGCTGGTTGGCATTTCTCTTGGCTGACGTCTCTGGGCCTGATCCTGCATGGAGCCTCACTCTCTGGCACACCCAGGAATGCAGGTTGTGCTAGCTCATGCCAGCATGCAAGGGAATTGTCACCCATGGATAGTGAAATTCCTCCCTACCCTTGGCCCCGAAAATATGGCTGTATAATATCATCACAAAGTGGTCCCAAATTTGATAGAGAGACTAGACAGGCTGACCCTGTGTCTGAGTGTCCGTCCCACCACCCCTCCACTTCCCCCCCACCCCACCCCACCCCCGTATCCCTGCTTTCAGACACAGTGGTCAGTTATGTTTGGAAAGCAAAAAAGCACGCAGTCTTGATGATTCTTAGTTGGAAGCTGACAGAGAGCCGGAATGACAGGAGGAATGGGAACTGACTATGTGTGCCTCATCAGTATTTAGGAGATTGTGGAGGTGAGGGAAGGCGTCAATCTTGAAGGGCTGGCCCTGGGGCTGTAGAGATGACTCAGCAGTTAAGAGCACTGGCTGCTCTTGTTAGAGGACCTACGTGCAGTTCCCAACACCCAGATGGACATTCACAACCATCTACAACTCCAATTCCAGAGGATCCGGTTCCTGCTTCTGAGCTCTCAGGCCCTGCATGTATGTAGTGTACAGATAAACATGCAGGCAAAACAGTCATACATACAAAATAAAAACAAATGGACCTTTTGTAAGGGGGTGACCCAGAGCTGTGGCTCATACAGTTGGAAACAACATTGCTTTAAATCAGTCTGTGTTTCCCAAGGCTGATGGGTTGGCAGTGTCGGCCCTTCAGATGCCCCCAGGTGCCCCTTTCCCCTTCCATCACTTTAGAAAGGTCTGTTTTAGCTGGGATAACCCCAATAACTCCAGGCAGACACCTGCCCACATAACAACACTCCACAAGGGGCTGCTTCCCAGGTTCCTGGGAACCTGGCCCCGAATGATTGGTTAGGGTTCCAGGGATCCTGGAATGATTCCTGGGGTGGAGGTAGCAGGGATACGGAAGGGAAAAGATGTGACTTGTCACCGCATAGCACAGCTATCTATTTTCTGTTGGCCTGGGCCAAAGAAGCTTGGACAAAGCTCTCAGCCCCTCCTGTGTCAGAGTCCTTTTCTGTAAAAGGATGATACGACACACACCCAGTTTATGCTATGAGCTGACGTGTGGAGAGCCATCGAAATGATCTAATGAAATGACTACTCTTTGTAAAATTTAAAACACTCGAGAAAGATGACACTGATCACTTTAATGGCCACACCATCCATCACTGCAGTGGTGATTCAAATGTGTAAGCCAATTTACTGAGAATAATTCATTAGATACATCCTCTGATATAGTTTTAAAATTAAAGCTATGTAGCAACACCCAAATAACATTACAATTTAATGATATTAAGTAACTTGATTTTCTATTCTATTCTATTCCACAGGATGGACTGTGTCCTGATAGGTTAAGCAGACTATTTTTGTAGACAGGGAAGGACTGAAGAGAACAGAAACAAAAGACAAGGGAATTGGTCAGATTAAGTTTCCTTTCTTTGTAAGATAAAGAGGAAAGAGATAGAATCCCCAAAACAATCAAATTGGGGAACACCAAATTACCTTTCCATGCAAGAATGAAGGCAGAGAGAACTTTACCTGGATGCCAGCTAGAGCTGGCCTGTGTGGCTCTTGTCTCTCCTTACTTATCTGGAGGCCACATGACCATTTAACTTAGTTTAGTGACATGGAGCTTTAGTGTAGGTGAGTTGATTTTGATTCTTAGTCTGGTCTCTTGGGACCCAGTTCAGGAGCTTTGCCCACAGCAATAGCCCTTGTAATATGTAGCTAACACTGTTTACGTTAAAAGCTGTCCATATTTGTCCTAGAATGGACTCATCTTTTTGGCAGGGAGGGCTCAAGACAGGTTTTCTCTTTATAACAGTCCTGGCTGTCCTGGAACTGGCTTTGTAGACCAGGCTGGCCTCAAACTCACAGAGATTTGCTTGCCTCTGCCTCCCGAGTGCTGGGATTCAAGGCATGCACCACCACTGCCCAGCTAGACTAATCTTTAAAAAAAAAAAAAAAAGAACCGTGTAGACACTTGGGAAGAACTCCTCAGTTGATTTGTTAAACAACCTCAAGGATAACTGAAAGGTAGAGACTCAGTGGGGTGTGTGAATGAACTTGGCACCCTACAAAAACATGTCACCATCCCTGAACTCAGGGGGATCTTCCTGGAACTCACAGCAAGCAGGAAGTTCTGAGTTGTCCTAAGTTGGTTCATTTTAAGCTCCTGGGGAGACTAAGGGCTCTGATGGTAGCATGCTTGCTGTGCAAGTATGAGAACCTGAATAGGATCCCAGCACCTACACTAAAAAGGAACAGTGGATTTGCCTGTAATCCCAGCACTGGAGAAGCCAGCCTGGGCTACTTGGAATGTTCCAGGTCAGTGAGATACTCCATCTTAAAAAAAAAAAAGTGGACGGTGCCTGAGAAACAATCATCTTCTTCTATTCTTTCTGTGGGCACACACACACACACACACACACACACACACACACACACACACA